ATGTTATGGACTCATTCCTAAAATAAGGGTTACAGCAACAGCAACAACAACTACAAAAACTTAATGATGGTGGAAGCCGTTTTGAGCAGACAAAATGGAGGGTAGCCTGATAGTGGCAAATAGAGGAAGAGCCTGTATCTGACTCTCCACATTGTTAAATGGGCTTCATGTTCACTTAAGGTTATTCATCTTCAATTTGACTCCAAAGAGGTTTAACCTTATCTAAATCACTAGCCCAGAGCTAATGAATCGTGTCTTCAAACTGTCTCTTCTTTTATTTTATTACAACGGGACACAAAATAAAATGTTGTATCAGAACAAGTTGGCAATGACATCAATTTTCTCTACATGCAGTGATATGCCAGCAAGACTTGGTCTATACAGGAGCAGAGGAGAAAACAGATTGGGAAAATCAGAGTGACTCAGCCTGGCCCTGTCATGGAGTTAGGGTAACCTAGGTAGCACCTGTCTTTGGAATGCTATGGTGGGTCAGGATCACCATCTATTTCTCAGTAGGAGGTCTGCAAAGTGCTTTGGACTATTTAATATGTCTGAAGAGTAAAAATTAATAGCTAGAGAGACTATCAATGAAATATGATAAAAAACTATAATGCTTTGAATGTTATATAAACACACTCAGTGTTTTCATTCAAGTTAAGGTGGATGAATGCATTACTAATATGCCATACTAATTTAATATATTCTAATTTTCAAGGCATTTAAATATTATGTCATGTTATTTATCTAGTTATTTGCATGTTGGGCAAGGTTAAAATGTTTTTGGTTTATTAGGAAAGTATTGTAAGAATCCACTAAGGAGTTTAAAATATATACTGGGCAGGTGTAGCTCAATGTATCGGTCTCAAAATTCTCACCTGGAATGACTTGAGGGGTCACTCTGTAGAAACAGTTTTCACCCTGCTCTGAAGTATCACTCGTAATCATTATTTTGCCCCACTGTTTCTCTTGCAGTCTTCTCTTATAAATAATGAGATCTCTTTGGAGTGGGGGATTCTGTGGAGGAGCTGTAACAACTGAGTTAGTCTTAGTGACAGATAGCTATGTTTTTTTTTTTTTTTGCTACCACAGCTGAGCACAAAATTAATTCACTTCACTTTTTTATGCACAAGGCTGATGTTATTCATCACCCTGTTTTGTTGCTCCCTCCTTTATTCCCTCCCTCCCTTGTTTCCTTCTTTCCTGCCTTTGCTGGTGAGTGTCAAATTTTTTTTCATGAGTAGAAAGAGAAAAATGAATATTTGCTAAAGATATCTGAAAATATGCTCTATCGAACTCTTATGGTGAAAAAGAATAAGAGGAATTATGTATATTCCTGTATAGAAAAGACTGCATTCTTGAATATGGAAGAAACAAATGCAAATTTATTGTATCCCCACAGAAATGTGAGGAACGAAATAGTTTTTTAAAAAATATTTATTTAATATCATTTTTTTATGCTTTTCATTTAAAGCAGTATAGCAACAACCTTTAAATAACTGATTGGTATTCCATATGAGAAGGAATACAAATAAATCATTCAAGACTAAAACAAAATAAAAGCCCAAAAACCTACAGCAACAAAGAGTAGCAAATACCCAAAAAAGCTAAAGATAAATGAGTGATTTCTGCTTATTTTGGGGCTAGAACTTGCATCTACAGTGCTGCTAATCCATAGTTGTAGCTGTGAATTTGATGGTTCATCTGAACACATGGGTGTGCTTCAAGTTTCTGGACAACTTTTTTTTTAGGGTTAGGGCTTTTATAAGTTAAGTTAAATGGGCATCTATGCAGTAATATAACATGGGTTTTGCCATTGATAGTTTTGTACTAATAAGGACATGTTGTTGAAAATCTGTTTCGTCTTTGCTTGCCTGTTCTTCATTGCTAACCAGCAATGGTGGGAAAATATTTGAGTAAGTACCTAGAGAAACATGTAGGCAAAAGTTTGTCCAGTGGTATATGCGCATGATTTCTCTACCTAATCTCAGGTTTACCCCTCTGTTTTAATACAATTATAGACCACAGAAAAATATGTAGCCTTCCCCTGTGCATATAAGCATTAATATGGTTTGAGATCTGCAAAGCTCACAGAGATTTATTTTTAAAAGATTCTCATCCAAAATTCTATCAGAGAAAAAAAAGAAAATTATGCCATAGAAAAATAGATTATTTGTAGTGTATTTGTACTTTGGGCTGAATGCATACTTGCTCATTAATAAGCAACTCATTTAGGAGCAATTTAGTAAGAAAGTGGAAATATATTTGTTAAACAAGGAGTCACAACAAAATCTACTCATCCTCTATTTTTTCTTATTTTTTAAAAACTAAAGGGAATAATAAATTTAAATACTTCATAGTCCTTAAAGATCAGAAATCCCATGCGGAGTAAAGTGTTTCCAGCAGCCGCAGAAGCAGGAAGCTCTTCTCCGTGCCACAGCCTGGTCTTGTCTACGTTTTTGTGATAGCATCTCTCAGTGTAGTCACACACATGGCTGTTGGTCTATGTGCTCTTCAAATGTGAGAGTTCTACATTTCCTCTGCACATTGTCCATACAGGCAACACAAGTCTGACACACAGCACCTGCTCCCTAGATGTAAAGGTACAGAGAGAAGAACGACAATGGATGTTGCCCACTCTTGCCATCCAACCTCTTGCTCGCTCTTTCCAGCTCTAGATCCTCAGCATATTTTTGATACCTGTGGAGTTAATCACTGCCCTGAAATTATTGCAGATACTGTTGTCCTTGCCTATAGCACATCTGTGACTCCATCTATATAAAGCTGAACTTTCTTTATGGCTCTGTGTATAGATCTGACTGCCATAGTATTTCACAAGTACAACCACTCACACTGTTATCTCTTTTATTTGACCTTATGGTGCATCACACATCTTGTCCCTCCTTAAATTGGTTTCACTCACTCTCATTTACTCCATTGTTTCCAATACTGTTTTTGTACTGTCTCAAGTAGCACTGTCCAATAGAAAGTCCTATAAGGATTTCAGGCCACATGTAGGTATTGAGCACTTGAAATGTGGCTAGAATAACTGTAGATCTAAATTTTAAATTAATTAAAAATTTTAAATTAATTGACCTTTAAATTTAAGTAACTACACAACTAGTGGCTACCATATTGAACAGCAAAAGTTTTGATCATATTGCATATGGCTTGGCAGATATTCTAAGTAATAATACTTAATATTGGTTGTAACCAAGAATTTGACAGAAAAAAACATACTGCTCTGAATGGGTTCTTATAAAAAACTTGGCAAGATTAAATTCACAATAAAAATAGAAGGATAAATGATTAAATGATTGGGAGAAATAATGCACTGATTTGAAACAGAAAGGAATTCAGGTACAGTAGAAAAAAACCAATTGAACTAGGGAGAGTTAAAGGTACAAAAATCCAAACCAATCTGATACTAGGCCATCAGTAAAAGAGTCATTATATGTAGCAGATTGATTGTTTCTTCTCCAAATTCAGAGTATGAATTAATTAATTAAAAAGGATTAAAAATTACAATGAACAAAAAGCAAGAGACTTATATTTTGTTAACAGGATTTTGTGAGGAGGCTTTATATACTATAAATTAGATCTTCTGATAATATGATATTATATGTTAGATTCATTGTATTGACTGCTGGACTATTATAATTGAATTTTATTGTATTGATTGTTGCTTGAAATCGTTAGCCCACAAGTATGTGGTTAGGGATGTTTTACAGTAGTATTTTATTCTTCTGTACCTTAGCTCTGGGCAAATTATTTTTCTCTACATTTTAAAATCTAATTACAAGTTCATTGCAACTGCAACTCTGTCTTTTCTGTAAGAAATAACTGTAATTCCTTTTATTCATTTGATAAATATTTATTGAATGCTGTCTGTGGGCCAGATAATGTAGGCTTTGGGAATAACCTGGTAGGTGAGCCAGATATATTCTTTGCCCCCATGGAGCTTACATGTAGAAAGAAGAAAAACATTTGGTGAATGAATGTTCAAAAACACAATTAAAAATATCAGGTGATGATGACATGCTAAGGAAAATGGTTCTATGTCCAGAGCTCTAAGAAAAACAGTCAGGGAACATTTCAGGAAGAGCTGGATGGAGGAGACCAAACGCAGTGGCTTCATTTTAGCTGACCTTTGAAGGGTGGCTGAGAGTCCAGGAAAATATGAATAGGTAAAAGGTATGTCAAAAAAGCATTGCAGGTGAGAGAAATAATACAATGTCTACCTTATGGAAATGAGCATGGGAGAAAGGGAGGTGACAAATCTAGCCTGAATAGAAAATAATCATAAAACCACAAAACTCTTTTCCTAACTGGACAGATGTGTAGTGTTAGGAACTGGAGGCAGTATCTAGAGGGAGCGGGCATGGTCTGAAGCAACACTGGGACACTGGGTGGGGGTGATTCTCAGGATAGATGAAGAGCGCAAGTCAGACACTGGAGAAGACACATGGATTTACAAATCATCAATCAGCTATGCTACTTGAGCCCATGACAGTGGCTCAATGTACAGAGGAGAGAAAATAGCTAGGCTAAAACAGGTGACAAAGAGTAGAGCCTTAGGAAAATTAGTAAATAGCTGTAAAAAAAGTAACTTAATAGAAGCCAAAGTAGCTATGTTTAGAAATGAAGGAAAATCAAGAGGTGAAATTGAAAACTGATTTAGAGAACGAAGCCCTAGTGAACAGAAAATTTACCAGAAGAATAGATGCCAAAACCAAAAATGAAATAAAACAAGACAGAGTGCCTAGGGTGTGAAAGTAGAGCCCCATGGAGAGGTCGGCACTGGCATTGTAGAAGACTTTATCACAGAAGATGCAAGATCTAGCAGGTTATTTATTTATATTTATTTTTTAAAAGATGAGGAGACCTAAGTAAATTGGCCAGGAGGAATCAAGGAGACTGTGTTGCTTTTTGAAATGGAACAGTTTTTCGGGCCTCTTCTGTGTTTGTTCTGAATGCCATCCCTCTTTGCCATCATATTCCAGTGAGTCAATTTCTGAAGAGACTCTGAGGACGGCGAAGGAGATCGGCTTCTCAGACAAGCAGATCTCAAAATGCCTGGGACTGACTGAGGCCCAGACAAGGGAACTGAGACTGAAGAAAAACATCCATCCTTGGGTTAAACAGGTGAGGGAGTTCCCCATTCCACCCAGGGTATCTTTGATGAAATATAGGCACCAACTCACCATACCATTCTCAGTAAAAAGAAAGGCATGTTTACAAAATGAGCCTGCTTCTGTGATTGATGCTTATGATGTCACCAGTTTTATTTAGTACAGGGATGATTTATGCATAAAAGGGGAAAGAAGAAGAGTGAGCACAGGACTGTGAAAATATGAACAATACCTGATTTTCCTAAGTAAAAGAAAAAAATCAAAATGACCTCTCCTTTGTTTTTTGACCTGTGTCAAAATGTATTTGTAATAAGTGAAATCATTAGTATGATAATAGAAGGACTTGAAATACCCTAGCATGATGGTGAACCTCTTGAAAATAATAGTTATCTCCATTGGCACTTAGCTTTTACAGGGTAATACTTTATTTTGAGTGCCCCATCATTATGGCTCATTTAGTATTCATTGTGATAGGGCTGGGCTTAATGAGGTCATCTAGTATTCATGACAATCACACATGGATGTTCATAGGTATATGCGCTTCTTTTTCTTTTGGCTTTTAATGGAAAGGCTATCTTGGTTTAAAGTACCACCAGCTGCTTTTTGCCCTTTAAAAGCATTGGCTTTTTTTCTGTGGGCTTGAGGGGGGCAGGCACATGGATACCCTTAGGTCTCAAGCTTGATGCTAAATATTTTCTACTCAGCAATTATTATCTTTCTTCCTGCTCACCTGTCTTAAACCAGCTTGCCCTGTCGGCCTCAGATTCTTGCTCACTAAGCTGAGCTATTTGGCCCTTGAGAACAAAATTGATTTACTTTTTCTAAATGTGTTCAGTGTGCTTCTGATCCCCTACCCTCTGCTTATGGTTTATGGCACTTATGTGATCTCATTTCTTGTAGCCTTTAGTAACTTACATCCTATGTGTTAATTTGTAAACCAAAGACATCTTTATGCCTAGGTCATTTTGCTCTGATTTGAGATTTCACACACCCACTTTAGATAGTTGGTTGTTAGTTTTCCTGGTAGCTAGTGGACCATATGATCATCTTGCCTTATTCAAGGGAAATAGTGATCCAGCAGTGCTCTAGGTCTGTGTGGCTATTTATCACTTAAGTGATAACTAGATTATATTATTTTCTCTCTTCTTACGTTTTCAGAATTAGAAAGCAATTAGATCACACATAGCCTTTCCTGTCTTTATTTTTGGCAGTACTGGATAGTAAAGAAATATGAAACCAGCACAAAAACCCATAGTCTTAAAAATTATAACAGGGAGAGAGTAAAATAATTAACTGATTTTTTTTTTTTTCAGATTGATACACTGGCTGCAGAATACCCATCTGTAACAAATTACCTGTATGTGACCTACAATGGTCAGGTAGGAACTGCTAAACTGTCTTTTACAGAGAGCTCTAGACTTAATAGCTGAGCCATACCAGGGAACACATATTTTTCATCTTTGATTATCTAGTGATCTTGGCAATAAAAATGACATCATGTGGGTCAGATGCAGTGATATGTTTCTATCCTCATTTTTATAGAACTGCCTTAAGATATTGAAATCAAACAAGTAAAATATAAGCACCGTGATTACATCAGCGTAAAATTACGCTGTGTTCTCATGACTATTTAATTTGCTAATATTGAGCTAAATCTAATTTTCACAAGTAAATAAAGCTTGTATAATACATTTCACTAGTGGGTTCCCAGAGTTAAGAATATGCTTGTGAACAAAAGCAAGAATGAAAAGACACAATTACAAGCAAGACAATTAGTTTAATTAAATGGAAGAATAACATAATCATTTCCACATGTTCTGTTCTTTTCCACCCCAGGAGCATGATATCAATTTTGATGAACATGGAATGATGGTGCTAGGCTGCGGTCCATATCACATTGGTAAAATGATGACTTCTATTTACATAAGATTCACAATTCATATTTGCATACACATTGATCTAATTTTTTTCAGAAAGATGTGAAATAAATGCCATTACAATAAATTTTTGTGAATTAGGAAGGTGAGGTTCAGAGAACTAAAATTCAAACTTGTATAGCGATTTAGTGGTAGCAGTGACACTTAAACATAGATCTTAAGTACAAATGTAACCTCCTCTTCAATATCTTTTTATCACTTTTGCCCTTATTAAATGACTCAAGTCTCTCTCTGAGGTTGGAGGCTGGAATAGACTTCGACTATATCTCTTCTAACAGTTTCTCAGAAGGCTCTAAATTTGCTAAAGGACTTTATTGCAGATATAAACTCTGACCTTCTATAGGTCTTCTGTTTGCATCAAATGCAGAGACTTTGTTTCATTGGTAGGTAGAGAATTACACAATCTAATTAAAATATTCTCAGCAGAGATTGTGACATTTTCTCCCTAGTCAATTAAAAGTAGATGCTTAATAACCAACCACTCAGATTTATTACAATTTCCAGGTGTACATTAAATGAGTAATGATATTAGTGAATAAGAACATTTTATATTTAGTTATTAAAAAGCATTCTAATACACAAATGATAAAATATATGATTTAGTAGTCTTACTCTGTTTCTTTGAGCATAATTTTTACAATTAACTAGGTGCCTCAAGATATATTAGTTTTGCCAAGTCTTAAAGTAGGCCAAAAGTCACATTTTGGCCACTTTAATTATTATCTTGGTACATTTCCGCTACTGTAACAAAATGCCTGAGGCTATATCATTTATAAAGAACCAAAATATTTCTCACATTTCTGGAAGGTAAGAAGTCCATGGTTAAAGGACCAGCAAATTCAGTTATCTGGTGAGGGTTGGGTCTTGGGCTTCTAAGATCACATTCTGAACCCTGAATTCTCTGCAAGAAGGAATGCTGTGTCCTCACTGAGAGAAGGCAGAAAGGTACAAAGGAACCAAACTCTCTCCCAAGGACTTTTATTATAGCAGTGACCTTTTGACAAGGGCTCTGCTCAAATACCTTTTGAAAGGCTCATCTCACAGTAATGTTGCATCAGTGAATAAATTTCTAACACATGAATCTGAATTCTGACTCAGTCAGACCACAGCAGTGATCTTATGGCTTACTGGTTTAAACACATTCATTAGCATATACCCTTCTCCTCTCTAGATCTTTTTTCTTTATCTTCAGTTGTACCTAATTTATGCAACAATGGTGAAGGACTTTAGGCTACAGAAAAGCCCAGCAGAGCAGTTAATCAAATGTATATTTAGTTGATAGTGAGAACTAACATGCTACGACATTTGGACACCATATTTTTGACAAGATTTAAGTATTAGGGCTTTTAGTTCTATGGCATCCCAGCAGAGGTGGTATTTTGAGGCATTTGGGTCATTATTATACTCCAAATTACTCATAGAAAGTCACTCACACTGCATGGGGTGGTCCCTCAGGTTTAAAAGGATATGCATAGAAAGGATAAGTCTTTCCCATCAATAAAGACATTTCAGAGATGTAAGACACTTTAGGGATCATAGTTTAGCTCTTAAACAGCAGGTTAAGTGGAAAGATTGAAGGAAGAACTCGAGTATTCTGATCACTGAATTAACTCTTCCTATGAAATGAGGTCAGTGTGTTCACTTTGAATTTATTGTCTGTTAATTAGGTTTATTTTTATCATTAAAATGATCTCCCATTAACATTGTTTTTCAAAATGCTTCAAATATGGAGATTATCTACTACAGAATTTGCAGCAGTAGAAAAGCCAATATTTCATTGCCATTTAGTTAGAACCTGCTTTTCTCATCACTAACACAATATCTCGTAGGGATGAAATTTATATTTTGAAGTTTTAAAAATTAAATTGAAAGGCTTTTGCTTCCTCCTCCTGGACTGACTGGTGATATGTATATTTCTCTGCCTTGTTTTGCACTGTAGCTTCATGCTTCTCTTACCCCTTTTCCCAATCTCACTGTCTCTGCAGGCAGCAGTGTAGAATTTGATTGGTGTGCTGTCTCTAGCATCCGCACGCTGCGTCAACTGGGCAAGAAGACAGTGGTGGTGAATTGCAACCCTGAGACTGTGAGCACTGACTTTGATGAGTGTGACAAACTGTACTTTGAAGAGTTGTCTTTGGAGAGAATCCTAGACATCTACCATCAGGAGGTAAAAGAAGAAAAATATATGCAGTAGATACTTTGTACATACCTCTATTCATGTATGTAGGTTTATACTGTAGTTCTCCTTAGGAGAAAGAGCTGCCAGTGTCTTCCATGGCCTAATGTTATACTGACCTCTGAAAAATAAACAACAGGAAAGGAAGGAAGGAAGGAGGAAAGCAAGAAAGAAGGAAGGAAGAAACAAATCATTCTGCTTTTATAATCTTGAGAATCTGACCTAGAGTCATTATTTTCATATAAAAGTCCTATTTTCTTTCTAAGCATTAAACTCTGTTTGGTAACGTGTATCAGCTAGCTATTAACTAGAGCAAGATGACCTCTCATAAATACCTTGTCCAAGGACTGAATTAGTCACCTAGAGATTTAATAAACAGCCTCTTCCTTGTTCATGTGACACACAAGGTTTAATGATCCACACTTCCCAGAGAAGTCAGTTGTTCACTAAGGACCAGTTAATTCCTTGTTCTATCAGATGAAGCTGTTAGTCTTCACTTCAAGATCAATGAGTCCATTTGGAATGATTTTCATTCCTCTGTGGCCTTTTCTTCCCATTGCTCTTTCAACCCCGCACAGATATTGAGTGTAGCTCCACTGTGGATTCCAGTGATTGTAGGTCACCGTAAGTCTGTGCAACAATTAAAAAGTAACCATTGGAAAATTCTAGTTAATTTCCAGTAATTTGATGTTATTGTAATCAATTTTTAATAATAGAGAATCATCTCAGTGTGTAAAATCTGATTTCTTGGGGAAAAGAAGTAGTGAATTGAAGCAACAAAATTTAATTCCAGCTGCAACCTGGTGATTCATTGTTCCATCTTCTTTTGTTAATGAATCACCTGAATGTACAAGTATGCTACATGTAGGTACTATGATGGTAACACGGAATTTATGGTTAAATACACTTTAAAGATATAGTACTAAAGTAATGTTATGATTTTATTATTATAAAGAAAAATAGACAAATGTAGGAGGATAGTTATCTATTTAGTATAATGTGATTTGATAAATAGAAAATATGCTTTGTATCTTCTCTCCAACAGTTTGTAATGACTCATTAATACTCATTTGTTATATTAGGGTGCTCACTAAAACAAGTGTATTCTACAAATATTTCTTGAACACTTTGTAAATATCAAGTTCAGTGGGAGAGATATCTATAAGACAAATTAAGACATAAAACAGATTTGTGATACAAATATGTGAAAAATTAAGTACTTGCTTTAAAATAAAATGACCTCACAAAGAGTATGACTAGGGCCTCGAAGATTTTATCAATAAAATAAAAAGACTTCTAAGCAAAAAAAAAAAAATATATATATATATATATATATAAAACATTGGAGGTAGGAGGTAACAGCATTAGGTATTTTACACATTATTTCCCTGTCAATAAGTATATCCAAAAATGTGACTGCTTTTGGATATATAAATGAAATTTTTAAAGATATAAATGGAATATCATAGAAAAGTAAGCTGACCCTTCTTTGAAACTGCCACTTAAAATAATATATATGATGAGGTCAAAATGTTATTTGTGTTTAAGAACATATGAACAATATTCCACTGATGTAGTCTTTAGATGATGTCATGGGCAATGTTATATAACATATCATGCACACACGTACATGTAGGTCTGTGTTTCCTTTTATGAGTTTGTTGTGTGTATCCTCCAAGCAGACTCCATAACGCTACTGTCTTGCTTCTCCTCAGAAGGGTGCCTGCCCTTCAGGATACTGCCTCCCTGGGCTCTGAGGTTGTCAGTAGTAACAGTATGTCTAAACTTACTGGAATGTGTGCAATTGAGTCACTTAGAAGGGCACTACATGGTTACATGGGACAACAGAATATATGATGGGTCTCCTAATCTTACTACTTTCTTGGTCTAGTTCTGGGCAAAGTCTGTTTCTATGGCAACCTATAAAGAAAAGAGGAAGAAGTCAGACAAAAGACTTGCCAGGTAGATAAAGTAAGAAGAGGTCTTCAACACAGGTGGAGTGAGAAGTATTCAAGTAATTTTTTAAAAATAAAATATGAAGGCAATATAGTCTTCTGGTTATTAGACATCACACACTAATGCCTTATTTTTTTGTTTGCTTTTTTTGTGTGTGTGTGTGGAGAAGGGCCATTAGTGTCTGCTATGTATAAAGCTTTTATTAATAATATTTTGCTTGGATAACAGTTTGGCTTCAGTTACTCCTTATAAAGCAAAAAAGGTGTTCTCAAAGTATTTTGAGGTGAAAGACTTGAAATTATTACATTGTTCATGGAGGTTGCAGGACTATGTTTCTCTTTTCCTAGATCTATTTGCTGGTGATGTATTATTCAATTATCTTTACAGACTACAATATTAATATAGATAACACAGGCCTAGTTTCAAATTTAGATTTCCCCTTGATTTTTTAGAGGTTTATGGTTTGTAAAGTTACATGAACAAACATTAATTTTTTCTGTATCCAGTCCTCATATAGGACCCATTTATCAATTCTTTTGTACTTGTTTATTAAAAAACAGATTTATGCTGGATGGAATGGTACATATCTGTAGTCCCAGCTACTTGAAAAGCTGAGGCAGGAGGTCACCTGAATCCAGGAGTTTAAAATCATCTGGGAAATATAGCAAGATACCATCTTAAAATCAATAACAAAGAAAAATCCAAAAAACTGGATTTGATTTTAAAATACCAAGTGTTTCTGACATCTGTTGATGTCCTTGTGTAGTCTGATTACTACTTTAATAATTTTTTCTTTTTATTTTCAGTGCATACTTTACTGGACTGTATCTCAGAAAAATATACTCTGCTTAATGTTTTAATTGTCCTAATATATGTATATTTTATGTACATAAGTATATGTATATAGATCTACAGTGGTACATGTATAACACAAAGGGTGAAATGGATGAGTTAATTACAGATATTAATTAGTGATAGGAAAACTCACTAGAGAAAGCATGACTCTAAATAGAATTGGGATTCATTTTTTTACCATTTGTTTTAATTATAGTTAAATATAATTCTAAGGTTCTACCTAGAATTTAACATGTACTACTAAAATTCAAATTACTGTAATATAGAGCATGATATTTCTCATTGGCAGATGTATAAATGATGGAATTTTGTAAATTGGACACCATCTATACAATTGCAAAAATTAGGGCTATTCTTAATGAAGCAAATGTTATTTATATTAGTAAGATAAATTTTCTCACATCACATTTTGAATAAAATACACCACTTAATCAGGGTAACCAAAATGATCAGTGTCTAGGAGAAATTAAGAGGATCTCAAATAAATTTGAAGCATATTCTTTTAATTCCTTAGTGTTCAAACTAAATTTCTTGTGTGACTGCAGCTTGCCTATTGCTTCAGAAATATCCTTGTACTACCTTATCTTAATGACATTAGGCTTAAAAAATAGGAAACTAAAATGACAAAAATGGTACAGAAATGAAAATGTAGCTCAGTGATGGATTTCACGCCTGCAATGCTTGAGGCCCTAGCACAGAAAAAAATAGCATAATTTTAGATAGAATTCTTCCATGAAACTGTCCAACTTTAACTTCATCTAGCAAGTATATTCTCATATTGAATACCGTTAGCCATATGAGTGAAATCTGTACTACACCATTGCAGTTTTCCTCTATACCATTCCCATGAGCATGATTTAGCTTCCCAGTTATGATCTATATGTCTGGAGTTCAACGATGAGAATTCAGTTTTGCATTAAAAGATCTTTTATTTACCACTTTTCCAAAAGAATGTTTTGTAAATAAATAGCACATTTCTTATCTTCCAATGTTAACCACTGCAGAAAATAGTCATAAAAAGAGTTAGCCTATGATTTGAATATTTGGTGTATTATTTGACCATGTATGACTATTGTATTTATTATTTGACCAAAGCTGTTTTATAATTTGTAGGACTGAATTCTACAGATTTTAGCTCAATTCCAGATTTGAGGTCTTTATTTGCTAGGTAAATGATATGGGCAAGTAGTTCATCTAAGTTGTTGTAGCTATAAATTGGGCTTACAATAACCACCTTAAAGAAATACTGTGAAGATCAAAATATAGTCCAGAATCCATAGTAAATTCCTCAATAACAGGTTGCATCTATTATTCTTGTCTTTAAAGTTGTTATTTTCTTGAAAAATAAAATTCGATTTAAAGAAGCTACTTTGAAAAATGTTGATGTGTTTATTAAAAAAGCTTAGGATTCAACTTTAAACTCCTCTTAAGTCTGTGACTCCAACATTTCCTACTTCTCTTCTAATTTTCAAAAATTACTTTGAAGTCTTTCATAAGAGACTTTTTGTATACATTTATTTGTATTTGTTTCTAAGCCCCTGCAACATTGATAACACTGCTAATAAACCAAAAATTATAAGAAGAAATATTATAGTAAAGAGAATGATTATTTTGAAAGAGTTTGCAAAAATATATATAAAACACATTTTTAAATGATGATAAAAGTAAATGAAGCACACTTATAAATATGCATAATGATGTATTATTATTTTTTGTACTGTTTATAATGCCTATAAGCAGTTAGTTTCAAGGTGTTTGTTTAGGTGGGACTGTAATTGCTTTCATCGGGGAGAAATTAGCTTCATAACTTCTACGAATACTTCCAAAGAATCTGAAGTCACGATAAAATATATTTGACACATTATTTATCACTTTGGAAACTCTACTAATATTCATTAATGGGTCATTAGGGCAAACACAAATTATGCCAAGCTTAATGGACTACTAGATATAGTATTTTTGACAGTAATAATCATGTCTTATTTATAAGCTCTCTGTGTATATAAGATTTTTAATATTTATTATCTTATTTCATCTATACAGCAATTATGTGCCATGGGAAGGTATTATTATGCTAATTTTGCAGGCAGGGAGACTGAATCTTGGTGTACAAGTGGTGTACACAGGGAACAAAGACGGGTAGGGACTGTTCCCTGGAAACCTAACTCCCACCACCATGCCTGCCTCCTCCTCACTAGTACTCCAGTTTTAGGGAACTTGAAGATTTGCTGGGCTAATTTTCTTTTTTTTTATCTTTACGTTTTCATTGCAAATAGGAGATTTGGTTTTAAATGGCCAAATCTTATACCAATCAAACATCTGAACTAAGATTAAAGATTAACCCACTGCTTGTGAAGCAAATAGGAAAGAAATAATCACCTAAATCAGTTTCTGAGTACTGGGGGAAAAATGCCCAGGTGACAGCAAGGGAGAGAAGCTGGTGGTTCAGGTGGTCAGAGTGGGAGACAGGACTGTAGCTTAGTGGTGGTTAGAGGTTGGGTAACAGAAGAGAGAAAGAGGAAGGAGCAACCAGCCCAAGAAGTTTTGGTGGCACAGTTTGCCAGCGAGAATGCAGATAGGTGGGAATAATAAGTAGGGTTGTCTCTTTGGGACTGAGCTGGGTGATGATAGATAAGACTGAAAAGGCTTAAATTAACAGGAGGTGAAGAATTTATACTTCTTTCTCTAGGCAATATTTACCTTGGGAAAACTCTGCATGAAAAAGCAACTTGGTGAGGCAGTTCTGTAAAATGATTAATTTGAATACAAAGTTTTGGGTTTAAGGGGTGCAGGACAGGTGAGGGCTAGAAGGAGAAATCAGTAGTCAGTTAGGAAGCACAAGGGTGGTCCAGGAAGTGTTGACTGTAGTGTGGAGCGCATGGTGCCAGTTCACTAACTTGTTTTTTTTTTTTTTTTTTTTTT